ACTGTGGATTTAAACTAACCTAAACTAACTAACTGTGGATTTAAACTAGTTAACTGTGGATCTAAACTAACCTAAACTAACTAACTGTGGGTTTAAACTAACCTAAACTAACTAACTGTGGATTTAAACTAACCTAAACTAACTAACTGTGGATTTAAACTAACCTAAACTAACTAACTGTGGATTTAAACTAGCTATCTTAAAATAATTAACCCAACTGCCCATAAACTTCACTCTGAAAGACAATTACAGACTTTTTTGTCCTTCCCTCCTTCCTTCCCTCCTTCCTTCCTTCTCTCCTTCCTTCTCTAGGAGGATCTGGAGGCTCTTATTGCTGAGTTTCAGAATCTGGATTCAAAGAAAACTCAGGTCGTGGAGACGACTTGTTCTCCTCCGTCACCGAGGTGAGCGACCACACTCTGTCTTCATGGTCCCGGTTGAGAAGTTTGTCTCTCAGCATGTGACGTGAATAAAAAAAACACTTCAAAGATAAAACAAAAGTTAGTTACTTATGGTAACAGTGACATTTCATAATGATGTCATCATGATTAGTCTGTTGCTGCAGATTGTATCTCAACACATATTTGAAGTTAATCATCATCGTCTCCAGTAAAATCCCCAAAAGGTTTGGTGAAAATCTCACACGCGGGTTAAACCCCTGCTTCTTCCAGCTGTGCCGCTGATCTCTGACATTTCCTCCTGTTCTTCAGATTGAGTGCGTCTCTCTCCGCTCATCCTGAGAAAGATGAACTCATCCTGTTTGGAGGAGAATTCTTCAATGGAAAGAAGGTGCAAACATTCTCTGAAGCTGGACAATGTCCAGAAATGTATAGTTTATGTTTCACATATAAAGACCAAAGCAAGACATTCTGTAAGTCACAGCCACACAAAAACAGAATCTCGAATGCAAAGCTCCTCTTATTCATCCTGAGATTAGAGACATCATCGGAAAGCAAAGGTTCCAGAAAATATCCAGAGCAACTGACTTAGACCTTTCTGGAAAATTTGGTGAATGTCACTGAATCCTGAGGCATTTAGCAGCAGTTAGGGCAGCTTCTATAAAGCGTCAGAGTTTTTATCCGAAACACCAGCACAGTCTTACAATCACCCACCCTGTACAAGCTGAGTATGAGGAGAAGCCCATTAGCTTAAATGCTGATGTTTTCTTCTGGTTCCAGTTTTGACAATAATATGAAATAAAACAGGAGAGCTACATTCCTAATTTAAAAGCCTGTTGTTAACTTTGTTTGCAGACGTATCTGTACAATGACCTGTTCTTCTACAACATCAAGAAGAACACGTGGGTTAAATCCGACATCCCCAACCCTCCCCCACCGCGCTGCTCTCACCAGGTAAATCCTCAGCGTGGATCCTCTACTCTTCTGTTGATGCTCGCTCAGATCACACTGAACATCACTGTGGTTTCTCACTCAGATTTATAACCAGCTTGAAAACAGTTTGACGTTTCCCACCGTGAGAGAGGAGTTGATTTACAGAAGCAGGTGTCACTCCTGTTGGAAGTTTGAATGCAACGAATGGTGTGATTCTTCATTTCAACCACAATGGGGCAGAATGCCACAGCACAGATGGGGGGGGGGGTGGAACTGAGTCTTATCAGCAGTGTCATCGTGGTTGATGGCCTGTTGCAAGGAAAATGAAGTCAGATCTTTATCTCTCTCTCTGTTTACGCTCTCCTCTTCCTCCCCTCTCTCCCAGGCGGTGGTAGTTCCCCAGGGTGGGGGCCAGCTCTGGGTGTTTGGGGGCGAGTTTGGCTCTCCGAATGGGGAACAGTTCTACCACTACAAGGACCTGTGGGTGCTGCATCTGGCTACACACACCTGGGAGAACATCAAGTATGTGTCATCAAAGCAGATGCAGTAATAAACGGTGGAATAAAGGGTCAGCGTGTGTGTTTATAACCAATGCAAACATTTATCAGTGCTTTAAAATTAACTTTGTGTTTTCCAGGGCGCCTGGCGGTCCGCCGGGTCGCAGCGGACACCGGATGGTCCTCAGTAAGAGACAGCTGCTGGTGTTTGGAGGTTTTCACGAGAGCACTAGGTACTTATATATATATATATATATATTCACAGATCAGGATGATAAAACAGAATATTCCGTACACAGTGGACAGATATGCTGGTGTTTAAGTTTGGATCAGTTAAATCTTACACCGTATCATTTCACGTGTGAAATATGTTTTTGTTTGACTTCCTGTAACAGCTCATAGAGTCTTTTCGATTTTTTGCTCAGTTTCAAGCCTTTTCTCTCCTGATCCCTCCCCCACGTCCCCTCCCCCTCCTCAGGGATTTTGTCTATTACAACGACGTCCACTCGTTCTCCCTGGAAACCTTTTCCTGGTCACGCCTCACTCCATCAGGCTCCGCCCCCTCCCCGCGCTCGGCCTGTCACATGACTTCCACACCCGACGGCACAGGCGTCATCATCTACGGCGGATACTCTAAAGTTGTGAGTTTGTGATCTGAATCTTAAGTGGCCTGTGCGTCTCCTCCATTTTGATATTATTTGGACTTTTGTTCGGTAATATTGTGATTTACTGTTTCCACATAATGTTTGTGTTCATTAGAGAGTCAAGAAGGATGTAGAGAAGGGAACCGTCCACTCTGACATGTTCCTACTGAAGCGAGAGGGTAAAGAGGGCCAAGGTACAAAACACTTCACTGTCCGAATGTTTTTAAGATAACAACCACAAAACATTACCAGAACTCATCCAGTGACTGTCCGTCCTGTTATTTTTGGTGACTCGTCGGTCCTCCAGAGAAGTGGTCATGGTCCAGGGTGAACCCCTCAGGTACCAAGCCTCATCCTCGCTCTGGCTTCTCTCTGGCGGTGGGCCCTGCGGGACGGGCGGTGCTGTTTGGTGGGGTGTGCGATGAGGAAGAGGATGAGACGTTGGAGGGTGACTTCTACAACGACCTGCACCTGTATGACACGGTGAAGAACCGCTGGTTCCCCGGCCTGCTCCGGGTAAGCTCCACCGCCGTGATTCACCTGCTGCGTGAATGAATGTTAGGAAGGTTTGTGTGGAGGAAGCCAAGTTTAACACCGGCACCAACTTCAGGATCTTCTCGTCATGGAAACAAAAATCACGTGAATTCTGTTGTTTTGTCCGGATTTATCCTAATTTATTCACAGTAGAACTCGACTGATTGAACAGATCGATTGAAATTGGTCGATTTACAGATATCAGTTTCTGTGTTTACAATAAAAAAAACTTATTTTACAGAAAAAACTGTAAAAATTATTTATATTTTTATTGAGATTTTGCAGAAAATATAGATTTTTTTCTAAATTCAAACTCTTTATGACCAAATCATTACCACGTTAAGTGTTGCTGCTGATCACCTGCCTGTGGTTTTGTTTGTGTCTGTTCAGGGAAACAAGACGGAAAAGAAGAAACGACGCAGGGGGAGGAAGGAAGGAGCAGAGGGGGAGGGAGGAGAGATGGAGGGGGAGGTTGGGGAGGAGGCAGCGCCACAAGGACCCACTGAGGTCGTCAAGGAGATCATCACTGAGGACGGCACCGTGATGACCATCAAGGAAGTGATCCCTGGAGCCCAGGGGGAGGAGGAGGAGGATGAAAAAGACGAGGAGGAAGATGAAGGTTGGATTACACACACACACACACACACACACACACACACACACACACACACACACACACACACACACACATAGTAAAACTTTTCCACAGTTCCTTGTTTTTGTCCTTTGACGTTTGAATTCTCATCGATTTCAGACTCAGGTGTACGTTTTCTTCTCCTCAGCCTCCGTTAACCTGGTGGAGCCCTGTCCGAGGTCCAGCGCCATGGCAACGGTGCGTCAGGGCAAGCTCTTCCTGTTTGGAGGGATGTTTGAGGTCGGGGACCGCCAGTTCACCCTGAACGACTTCTACTCCCTGGACCTCCACAAGATGGACCAGTGGGAGACTCTGGTTGAGATGGATCCGAGTGAGTCTGCCGGTCGAAAACACACAGAAGTAACACAAGTGAACAAAGAGGAGCTGAGATTCAATCACAGGCACCGCAGCAGGCGGCCTGAAGCCACCGCTGGCTGCTGATTCATCATATCTGCGTCTCCTCTGATGCTGGAGAGGAGGTGGTGATATTGATAAGAAGGGAGAGACGCATGTGAGGTGTCATTTGGATTTATGATTCTTTGTCCACAGAGACGCAGGAGTGGCTGGAAGAGTCTGAGTCAGAGGACGATGAGGAGGAGGAGGAGGAGGGGGGGGAGGAGCTGAAAGGAGCTGAAGGGGAGGAAGACGAGGTAGAGTCCGAAGGGGAAAGTGAGGATGAGGAAGGTAAGGTTTTAAAATTAAGTCTGTGTCTTTGTCACTTCACCTTTTCACGTGATTTGTAATGAGCAACAAGTAACCCACTGACTTCTCTCTGTTGCTGCGAACATAAAATGGTATTTGACTCACGTTCTCTACTCGTCTGTGTCCAGATGAGGAAGAGCACCCAGCCGTGCAGGAGGGGGAGACGGTGACTGACTATCAGATGCGTACAGAGCAGTACTGGACGGGACTGGCACGAACGAACATGGGCCCCGACGTCAAGGACAAAAAGGTCGCAAAGGTCGCCCTCGCCATGGCTAAAGTCTTTTATGAAGACCAATAGTGGAATACACCAAACTGTTCTGAGTGTGTGTGTGTGTGTGTGTGTGTGTGTGTGTGT